ATTTGTATCCTCCTTTTCATTGTAAAAAAGTTGGTCACCTTAAAAATGAGCCCTTTGTTTCTATGTTTTCTCAGCCTGATCTTCGCGCATTGAGATCTGAGTTTATGCTTTATTTTGAAATAAAAAACAGTTGCAGCCAACTGATTTTTGCTCACACGTGTGAACAAAGAAAACGAACGGCCCAGTTGGGGCCAGAAGAAAACGTAAACTGCAAACCAGTTTATAAAAAAAAAAAAAAAAAATGCGGCTCTAGCTCCAAACGGGCTTCGTGAGTGGCTCCTACAGACGGGCATGAGCCTTCCTATTGGTTGCTAGTGGATGGAACGCCGGGGGTTGAACCTTGCCCAAGGAAATTCGTCCAGTCATCTTGCAGGCAGAACCCAGTTGCAAACTGAAATCTGTGACACGTAACCTATTCATACGTGCTTTATAAAATGCAGACACTATGGAGTCCACATCACAGTAGTCCTGGAGAGATTGAAAGCTTGCAGGCACTTCTGGGGCCTTGGCTGATAGTTTTTGATATGGATTTTGCTTTAGAATGAGGATTTGTTTCGCTTTAGCTCTAAGTCAGTGACACCTTTTCCGACTCACAAAATTTATTCAAAAGCATGAACTTGCATCCAACTTCATCAGATACATTTCAGTACAATTTAGACTAACATAGACTAACATGGCTGTCCATCTACAGTGTCTTAAATGATGCATAATACTAACCTAGGTATCGTAACAAGCCATAGTCAAAAGAATGAAGTTTGTGTCCTCACATCTAAACTGCACAACCATTGTGTCTTGCCATTTGTGTGAGGCAAATCTCACCATTTTAAAGTTACTATGGCTACTGACACTGCTATGAATTTACAGCTCATTTAAGACTTAAAGAAGAAATAAATCCTTTGTCTGCCTCCCCATGTTTTCTGTGATTATTGTCCAGTTAATATTTGTGTTTTGAATCGTATGACGACTGGAGCACACATAAGATTTAATTTTGTTGAGTCATATTACAAAAAAATATCCATTATTATTAAGAGTTAGGGATACATCACATACCACAATCAAAAAGAAAAAGCTTCTGGGAGTTCTTTCTTTTTCTGTGTAATTTCTGAAAAAGATACAGCTGCTTTAAAGAACTACAAAGGTGCTATATAAGCCATTTGCTAGCTATAAATTTGAAATACAGTCTAAGGATAGGATAGCATTTAGGATAGCATTCAAGGATTGTGGGTCTCTCCTATAATCTGTTGGATTAGCTTGTTATTAGACTGGAAAATGGATTGTGACTGAGGGGAGCAAAGCTTTTTCATAAATTTTAATATAGAGCCAGTATATTTCCATCATTGTCCATTTTTACCAATTGTATCTACATTTTAAACCCCCAGCCTTCTCTTTCTTTTCTGTTTGCTGCCACTTAGTGGCCATTTTGAGGCAATTTCTGTTCAGAGATGCTACTCTATGCAATAATGGAAGCATGTGTGTCTACAATATACCACCTCTAAACACTCAGATAACCATTCAAAGGCAGTAAAATACCCAAATGTGTACACTGGTGAAAGCCTAGGCTTAGACTAATTCTCTCTCAGCAGTCAAGCTTTGTCAAGTTAATTTAGCATGGTGCCTTTCATATATTTTCCATTTGCAATTTAGGAAAAAGTGGACACTGCTGATAATACTTTTGTGTGTGTGAAGGAAAAATTGAGACTCCACCTCCAAAATGTAGTGCCTTGTCTAATTTGGATGGGTAGAAGATCAAATTTTTATGCAGTTTTCCTAGATTTTTATTTTAGCATTCCTTCTGACTACAAAGTCCTTGCTTCCCAGATTGCAAGGGATAGGTTGTGATCAATCAGCATCAGAGAAAATGCATTTTGCCCATGTTTATGGTGATGACACATATATCCCAGGCTTGAATATTCTTAGTCCAGCAGAATCTACAATATCCAAGCAATGGGTGGAAATAAAAATGGGGTGCACTGTTAAATCTTCAGGTGAGTTGCAGTAAGTCAGCAAGGTCTCCTGACTCCCAGTGTTTTCACAATAGTGAGAATAAAATCACTTTCTTCCTCCTAAAATAAAAATCTGAAATCAAGAATGCTTGGGGCTAAAGAGGGGAGTATTTGCATAGGTTAGTTCAGAGAACAAATTTTGGGGCTGAACATGTGTCCAGATACATCCTTTTTCTCTTAATCTGTCTTCAATGTCTGTCAGTATTTTGCATCCAGTTTCAGTGTCTGCAGTTCAAAGTTTTAGTGACTAAAACTAAATGAGATTTAGTGACTCAGTCCCTGATGACTTGGTTCAGGCCATGTAGCTAGTTGGATTTTAATTTAAGGGATTAGATGAATTTAACCTATGATTTAAGTCTTATGGGTGTAAGTAAAGCCAGCTACTGTTGCTTGGTCAAATCATGATGAAATAAATCATGGCTTAGCATAATGTTTGAACTCAGTCAATGAATGCTGGCAACTTTCTAGCTAGAAAGGTGAGAACTCCTGTTCTTGAATCCCTATCCTTTTTTTCTTTCATTAGTTTGAATTATTATTTGCCTGATATGCCACCTTTTGTAGAGGAGCTCTTTTTTTTTCCCCTGCAGCACCAACCTTGAGGAAGAAGTTGGGCTGAGACAGTGACCAGCCCAAAGTCCTCCAGTGAGCTTCTGTCACTGAAAGGGGACTAAGGCCTGGGTCTCCCTCCTTCTAGTCCAGGGGTAGGCAACCTTGGCTCTTTTATGACTCGTGGACTTCAACTCCCAGAATTCCTGAGCCAGCATGGCTCAGCTTGGAAACCTCTCCCTTTCCCCTCAGCATGGCTGGCTCAGGAATTCTGGGAGTTGAAGTCCACGAGTCATAAAAGAGCCAAGGTTGCCTACCCCTGTTCTAGTCCAAAGCTTAACCCACCGTACCAGACTGGCTCTTAAAATATTTTGCTGCGTTTTGAACCAGCAACCTTGTACATAAAACACAACGTTCCTTGCCACCGTGCTGCTTTAATACTGATCAAATAATGACTGTTTCATTGTATCCCTTTCGTTTAGTTTTGACAGGTACAGTAGTTCTTGACTTGCAATGGATCACTTAGCGATCATTGAAAGTTAAGACAGACCCGCCCCCCCCCAAAAAAAGTATTCATGACCCAATTCCAAACTTTTGACAGCACCCCCCCCCAGCACGGTCATGCATTTCTAGTCCCTCATAACCAGCCCACATTTATGGACATTTGCAGCATTCTGCAGTCACATGACCACGATTTACGACGTTTTCTCCAAAACCCAGCATTTACTTTCAATTTTGGCAACACTCATAGTGAATAATGAAATACCCACTGTTGTTAATTGGAACAATGATTCATTATGAAAATAAGTGCTGGTTTTCAGCAAAACTCTTGCAAAAATATGGTCATGTGACCGTGGGATGCTGCAAATACTGTAAATGCAGCCATGTTGTCAAACATCCACAGTTCAATTACATGACTACTTTGGGGGAGGTGGGGGAGGAATTGAGTGTTGGAACTTCAAATCCAGGTCATACATAGCTCCCAAGTAGATCTGCTGTAACTTCACACAGTTGTTAAGCACCCAGTCATAAGTTGAGGACTATTTGTATATTTTTTAATCATAAATAAATGAAAGTACAGTAGAGATGCATGTATATTTTGGAACCATTTGGGTATGGAATGCCTGATGGAGCTTGGCTGAGTTTATAAAACATGCTTGACCAACTCAGTTAAAAAACTAGCAGATGTATCTGCACAACATGGTGACCTCTGTTTTAGCACAGATTTGTTCTTTGAAAGTCGGTTTGCTTGACGCTTCATAGAGTTCAGCATGTTGTGCAAACACAAAACATTGGCTCATTATGTAATCTAGCAAACTGCTAAGTCTCCAGCAATTCAGTTGGGTAAATAAAGAGGACAATAGACTTAAGCCTGGCTCATCGCCATTTGCTGTGCTTTGTGCCTCAGCAACAACCTCGCACTGGGTGTCTCTGCAGGTCTGAAGGGTAGGAGTGGAGTGCAGGCGTAGCACAAGACAACACCCAGCTTGCAAGCAGAAGATCCTGCCAAGTGATCTGGACTGGAGAAGGATCTCTGTAGCTGGATCCTTGGCTTATTCTTATCCGTGGAGTCATTTAAAGTCACACATTCAATCAACACATATTTGTCTTTGCAGAACCTAGAAATCAATGCTTGAGAAACAGATGGTATGTAGATTTCTGAAATTCCCTCTGAACTTTTGAGGAAACTACCATTTTGAGATAGGAGACTAGAACAAATGAGAAATAGGGATATTTTTTTTTAAATCAAACTTGCTTCTTCACTCAGACATGGGAACCTGTCTTGCCCCCTTCCTTTAACTTTACTCCCATTACAACCCTAGAAAGGATTGTCCTTGTTTAACCACACTTTGCTTGTTTCGCAGATAAGTTTACATCTCTCAGTAGCAATAAAAGTCAGGTTTTGATTTTAAATGGTTCCATTTCTGAGCTAAACTGAACTGAAAATAGGATTGGGTTAAAAGCTGAAACAGATTCAGTCTTTAACCTAAGACCACTGTTTACAAAGTAGATCAGATCAAATTAGTTCTTAATGTATCTCCATTGACACAGGTCAGTGATCTCAGTCACTTTACAGCAACAGTTCTCAACCTGTGGGTCGTGACCCCATTTGGGGTCGAATGACCATTTCCCCTTTTCCTTAGCTGTGCTACTCCCGTTTATTCTATTGGCTTTTGAAAGCCAATAGAATAGACGCTCTTGAATAGAGTCTAATTCTATTGGCTTTCAAAAGTCAATAGGAATTGTCCAGGCTATCTCTGCCCTGCTGAGCCTGCCAAAAGCCCCAGTCTGCAAACAGTGCTGCAAGTTGTCTGCAGCAAAGGCGAGCTGTCTGGAAGCTTCCACCCCTCCCTGCTGAGCAACTACTAAAAATGTAAGTAAAAGAGGGCCAGGAGTGGGAGGTGGGAGGCCGGCGGGCGCAGGGAAGGTTGCTGGCACACGTGGGGCCTGGCGGGTGCCTTACCTCCCTTGGGCTGGGCCAGCTGGCGGCCTAGCCGGTGGTCGCCTTGCGCCGTCGCTGCCCCTTGCCAGCTACGCCTCGGCCGGCGCAGGGGGCAGCACCACGCATGCACGGCGCTCCCGGGCAGGGAAAGTCCTTGACTTATGACCGGTTGGGTAGTCTTCAACTTACAACCGGTTGGGGTTGCGGCATTAAAAAGGTTGAGAACCATTGCTTTATAGAATGACTAGGATAAAAAGGAAATGAGGGGCAGGAAGAAATATGCACAGATGCTGTCATTAAATTAGGAGATGAAATTGGCTAAAGAATTTGACAGTGAAGACCCTTGGACAATGGGATAACGAGGAGGGGTAAATAAAATGATTGGGCTGAAAGATGAGAACTTATCTTAAAATGTTGATTATTCATTTATCATAGATAATCCTCAATTAAGGCCAGTTGCTTAGTGATTGTTCAACGTTACAGCAGACCCACCCCAAAGTAGTTATGGCCTAGATCTGAGATTTCAAAGTCAACCACCCCCTCCTGTGATCATATGACTTTATTTTGGGCACTCAGCAACTGATCTACATTCATGGCAATTTGTAGCACCCTACAATCACATGACCATGATTTACATTGTTGTCAAAAACTGAGAAATATACTTCCAGTTTTCAGTAAAATTGCCCCATGGCAAACAATGAGTTTATTTCATGACTATGGGGGTCATTTAATGATCACAGTGTCTGCTTAGTGAACACCACAAAAAAAGGTTGCAAAATCGGGTCCAGTCATGTAGTGATCCTTCTTTACGACTGTCATGACTTACTACTGCAGTGGGCAGGGTCCATTATGGTTGTAAGTCAAGGACTACTTGTGTTTGTTAATTCAACTTGTATAACCACACAACTCTCTGAATTACTTACAAGATAATTTAGTTATGCCTTCCACAATGCTTGACCGGTGCACCCTTTCAGAGCTAAAACTTATGGGTCTGCTCATGTCCAAGAAACACAATTAGTGCTCAGAAGATAGTGATAACAACCACTTATTTTATCTATTTATTAGGCATATATCCCTTCCCCCCTCCCCAGAGACTCAAGGTGATGACTTAACATGGAAATCTCCTTTTCATGCTAGCCCCATAATAACTGCCCTTTGGGGTGGCTTGTGACTGGTCCCCAAGATCGAATATTTGTAATTAGGGATGGTCGTGAACCTTGGTCTCCCCAAACCATATACCACACAGCTGGAACAGCTGGCATCTGGAGGGACGTAGTGAAGATAGACCAGGCTGAAAAGCTGGCAGTCAGCGGCCTCGGGACCTGGTGGCATCTGGAGCAGGAGGTGGAATCGCGGGTGCCTCCTCCAAGCCACCGTGGCTCCGCGGAAGGCTTGCAAGAGCAGCCGTAACTTCCTGTTCAGCGTTGCCTCTTAGGACCTGGAGGGAACCGAAATAACAGCACCGCGGAGGCTGCGAGGGGAAGGAGCACAAGAGCCACCATAACTGGGTCTGAAGTCGGGCTGTTCGCACAAATCCAGGCTCCTTTCCTTTCTCTCGGATCTTGGCAGCCTCCGCTTCTCCCAGGACCGGCAGAAGATCCTCGTCGGTCCCCTGCTCTAGCTGGAGGCTTCCTTTGTGGTCCGACAGTCTCTCGGCTTGGCAAGGCAAGCAGGGAGGGAAGGAGCCGTCGGCAAAATTCACGCTCGATGATCGCCTCTCTCGCGGCGGAGGAAGCGGAGACTGCGAGGGGCAGCCTGGGCAGCCCTTTTTCTCCGGGGAGGTGCGGGAGGAGGGAAAACAAACAAAGCGCACAATTAAAGGGTTGGAGGCACCGCGCAAAGAGGAAATGCGGCCTGTGTAAAGTCCGGTGTGTCGCCTATAGAATGGCAGGGCAGTCGGCAGGCAGAGGCTGCTTTCTTTGTATGGAGTGAAAGCCCGTCTCGGCTGTGGCGGCTGCTCCCATCCTCCACCGCCTGCGGAGAGAGCCACCCAGGCCGAGGCAGGGGAGGCTGGTCTGCCGATGCCCAAAGGCGCATTCTGGAGTTACTTAGGGTTGCCCTTGAAATGCCTGACCTCAAGAAGCACAGCATTTGAAGAGGTGCTGAATGCAGCTGCCTTGCCTTTAAAAGCTGCTTGTGCACTCATCTTGGTTGCTGCTGCTGCTGTTGTATTTATTTATTTATTCATGTATTAATTATGCCACCCATCTCCACTGCAGGAAATAAGGAACTGGGTGCCATTCACTTTGCTTTAATACGTGACTGCTGGATCATCTTTCTCCAAAATCTTAATTGCAGAGCAGGGCCTTTCAAAACCTTTTTTCCTTTCTTCAAAACCAACATTAAATATATATATATATATATATATATATATATATATATATATATATATATATATATATATATATATATATATATATAATATATATATATATATATATATATTTTCTTAATTTAACTTTAATGCATAAAAAAATCTATTAACTATAAAATACACGTAGCCATTTAACAACCCATAGTATTTTTCTGGTCAAATCAAATATAATTAAACCCCAAAGTCAAAACTTCAGCTTTTTCTTTTTCCTGTAGGAAATCTAAAGGTGGTCTCTAAGCTGCAAGAAATATAGTTAAAATTGTTGTCTCTAACCAAATAGTCAATTTTGCTAGCTCCAATCCCTTAAGATTATTTAAGTGCCCCGATCAAACCTTCCCCCAAACTGGCACCCATATACATTAGGACCATAACTCTCTGAATGTACTTACAGAATGTGGAAATGTAACATTTTTCCCAAAATACAATCCATGATTGGAAAACTGCCATCTTGCCTCAGCATTTAGAAGTTTCATGCACAAATCTTCTCACAGTTTGCTGGAATGCCTCCATGTCTAATTGCAATTCTGACTTGTTTTCATTTCCATTTCTTTTTTTTTAACTGTTCTTTTCTATTTAGGATTTCCTATCTTAAAGTCTAAATTAAGATCTAGGATGGAGAAGGAGGAAGAAACACAAAATCCAGATTCCCAAAGCACAGGAGAAGGGACAGGGAGAAGTGAGACCAGCTCAGGTAAAGAAGTGGATAGAAAAACAACAATATTTTTAAATGGTAACTGTGTGGATCATTCTGAGTTCATCTGCTGACAGATAATTGGTCTGCCCATCATTGACTTCCCAGGATCTGAAGGAATTAGAGTTTTTTTTCTTGCATCTTTCCTCAAGTGCAGAATGATATAGGAGAGGTTTTGATACTAATCCATAGATGAGGTAGATTTCACATTTCTGTAACTCAGGGGTGTCAAACTCAATTTCATTGAGGGCCGCATCAGCATTGCGGTTGCCCTCGGGGGGGCGGGGTGTGTGGCCAGGGTGGGTGCAGCCTACTGGGTGGGTGTGGATGGAATGGGTGTGGCCTACTGGATGGGTGTGGCCATCTCTACATCGTTCGCGTCAAGGGTGCCTGTGGGGGCCTGGGCAGGAGTGGGACCGATCTGAGGGTCTCTGGCAGAAGGGGGTGGGACCAAGGCAAGTGCCAAGGCAAGGTCCATTTCTTCATTCCTCACAAGGGGTGACACCTCCCCAGCATGCACTCATGGGGTGGGGCTGACGCGGCAGGGGCTGGTTCCTCGCTGTTTACAGACAGCCTTGTGGAGCTAAGACTGAATGCGTTTCAGCATAGATGGCCACCACAAAATTGTACATTGGCTCCCGGCCTGCCTCGGCCAGGGCCGAGGCAGAGGGGGCCATTCCCTCACTGTTTCCAGGATGGCTTCGCGGGCCACATGAAATCACTTTGCGGGCTGCATCTGGCCCCCAGGCCTTGTGTTTGACAAGTCTGCTGTAACTTGTTGCTTTGTAGATATGTTGAAATCTACACGGCGAGCCTGATGAGTTCTTATAATGTGATGGTGAAATGAGATTGAAATTTAACTAAGATGGCAGATGGCTTCGGTATCAGGAGAGAGGGAAGGATATTTTCAGTGCCCTGGAGTCAGCGTTGATTCCTGATGACTCCCTGTAGTTTTCTCAGCAAGGTTTCTCAGAAGGGTTTGCCTTCACTTCTTTCTTAGGGCTGAGAGAGAATGAGTGACCCAAAGTCATCCAGCTGGCTTTGTGCCGCAAGGCAGAAGTAGAAATTGTGGTTTCCCAGTTTCTAGCCTGATGCTTTAACCACTGTACCAAACTGGCTCTCCCAGTATAATAACCATGAAAAAAGATTCCAAACTCATACTTGCAGATGCAGATAACTTGTTCAGTGGATAGAATAAACCATGAAACATAAACTGTTTTTGTAAGTCATAGAAGGTGACCTCCCCAAAAATTCATAGGCTACTTGAGATGAATTCAGAGTGGTGGAGTGTTAAAAGGATCGGCTGAAGTGCTAGTTGAGAATCTGTAGAGTTTTCCAGTTAGATGGGCTGATCTTTGTTTTCTAAAAGAGTTTCCTCTTGCTTATCTTCTGACTTTCAGAAGTTACTGTTGCTGGTGACAAAGTGGCCTCTGCGGCCGTCACTGTGGCCACAGCTGCTGTAGCTGCCGTTAAGACTGTTGTCGGAATCCAATCACAACTTTTCAGCCACTTGGCCACCCGCCGGACGTTTCTGCCCCGCCATCGTCGTGACCTACTGGAGCTTGAGCAGATGGTGGAAAACGCGGCTGCCGTGCGCCTCCGAGCAGTGGTGGAGTCCAGCATTGACTCTTTGCGTGCCATGATGTGTTCGTGCCTCTTCCAGTCCCCGGCGGTCCTTGCTGGGCTGATAGACGAACTCTACATCATGGAGCGGGCCTTCTGGGTGCAGCCAGGCCGCTCTGAGTGGTGGGAAAAGGTGGTGCTGCCCCATTGGGATGACCATCTTTGGCAGGAGAACTTCCGGATGAGTCGGCAGACTTTCATGGAGCTGTGTGACAGATTGAGGCCAGTTCTTGAGCGTCAGACAACTAACATGCGGGCTCCCATTACTGTTGAGAAGCAGCTGGCCATAGCTATATGGAAGCTGGCCACCCCAGACAGCTACCGCTCAGTAGCGGAGTGTTTTGGCGTTGGGCGCTCCACTGTCTCCAGGATAGTCATGGAATTTTGCCAAGCTCTTTATGATGTGTATCACCATGTGGTCCTACTGACCAGGCCCCGGGAGGTCATGAAAGGCTTTTCGGCCAAAGGTTTCCCTCATTGCATTGGGGTGATCGATGCCACCCATATCCCTATCATTGCTCCTGCTCACCGAGCCATGGAATACATCAACAGCCGAGGGTATTATTCGATGGTTCTGCAGGCCCTGGTGGATCATGAAGGCAAATTCATCGATGTGTATGCTGGGCGATCCGGGAAAGTTCACGACGCCAAGATCTTTCGCAGCTCCCCCATCTTCCGGGCCATGAATCAAGGCACTTTTGGTCCTAGCACTACGATGGACCTAGATGGGGAGCAAGTAAAGCCGGTCATCCTAGGAGACCTTGCTTACCCTCTTCTGCCGTGGCTAATGACTCCTTACAGCGGCCAGTTGGACTCCCGGAAACAGCTCTTCAACAGCACGCTTGGCCACTGCCGGACAGTGGCGGACTATGCCTTTGAGCGGCTCAGGGGCCGATGGCGGTGCCTCCTCTCCCGCCTGGATGTGCGAGAACGCTACGCCCCGCGGGTCATTGTAGCCTGCTGCATCTTGCACAACATTTGTGAGAGCAAAGGGGAGCCTCTGCAGGAAGGGTGGGAAGAGGTGGTGAGATCTGTGTCGAGATCTTACCAGCAGCCAGAAAGACAGCTGATGTATATGTCCAACCCGCCTGCCCGTGAGATCAGGGACCTTTTTAGCACATACTTGGAAAGGAGAGAACAGAAAAAGTAGGATGGAATTCATGCTTTTTCTCCTCCCCTACCCCGCAAAAAAAACCCACCTTGAAAAAGAAGTTGGGGACAAGATAAAAGGCTCTTGTCTGCTTCTTTTCTGAGTACAGAGAGTCCTTGACACACAATCGTTCATTTAATAACCATTCAAAGTTATAATAGCGCTGAAAAAAAGTGACTTGCGACTGGTCCTTGCACTTACGCAGCATCCCCACGGGATCAAAATATGGGTACTTGGCAACTGTTACGTATGTACAGAGCAGTTGCAGGGTCCCGGGGTCATGTGACCTCCATTTGCGACCTTCCCAGCCGGCTTCTGGCAAGGAAAGTCAATGGGAGAAGCCGGATTTGTAACAACCCTATGAAACAATTCCAGCGATTCTCTTAATAACTGTGGCAGAACGGTTAAATTTGGGGATGACTCCTTTAACAACTGCTTGGCTTAGCAATGGAAATTCTAGCCCCACTTGTGACTGTAAGTCAAGGAGTATGTCTGTAAGGTGTTACTACTGGGGTTAAAATGCAACTGACCATTTCTGATAGAGGGTAGCCAGTTTATCCTGCTCCGCCTTGGCGGAAGCAGGTGGCCAAGGCTGTTTTCTGCCTCTGGGTTTCCTGTTACCTTCCTGCGGGTGGTGCTTCTGCCTAGAGAGCAGCAACCTTAACGCTGCACCTTTCTTGTCTAAGGTGGCTGCCTTTACAGGCATCAACTACCCAGGTTAGCACAATGAGCCCTAAGACACAGTTTATTCATTAGTTGTGATTCAAAGAATAAATGACACACTTGGCCAGATTAGTACAATGCACCCAAACCAAAGAAACCATGTTCTGACCCTATGCAACGTGCAATCCCAACGTTTTCACCACAGTTGGTTTCAGATTTGAAGGTGGAGAGCTCTGGAAAGAGCTTTTGAAGAATACTGTCTTCCATTGGTAGATTTCACTAGCAGCAGCCCTCTGATTGGTGCTGGAAGTTGCCTTTTGATTTCCCACAGTGCCCCTACAGCAGCGGTTCTCAACCTGTGGGTCGCGACCCCATTTGGGGTAGAACGACCATTTCATGGGGGTCGCCAAACAACGCAGTCCGCCATATTTTTTCCCCTTTTCCTTAGCTGTGCTACTCCCTTTTATTCTATTGGCTTTTGAAAGCCAATAGAATAGACTCTCTTGAATAGAGTCTAATTCTATTGGCTTTCAAAAACCAATAGGAATTGTCCAGGCTGTCTCTGCCCTGCTGAGCCTGCCAAAAGTCCCATTCTACAAACGATGCTGCAAGTTGTCTGCAGCGAAGGTGAGCTGTCTGGAAGTTTCCACCCTTCCCTGCTGAGCAACTACTAAAAATGTAAGTAAAAGAGGGTGGGAGGTGGGAGGCCAGCGGGCGCAGGGAGGGTTTCTGGCACACGTGCGGCCCGGCGGGTGCCTTACCTCCCTTGGGCTGGGCCAGCTGGTGGCCCAGCTGGTAGTCGCCCTGCGCCGTCGCTGCCCCTTGCCAGCTACGCCTCAGCCAGCGCAGGGAGCGGCACCACGCACATGAGCGGCGCTCCCGGGCAGGGAAAGTCCTCGACTTATGACTGGTTGGGTAGTCCTCGACTTATGACCAGTTGGGGGTCGCGGCATTAAAAAGGTTGAGAACCACTGCCCTACAGAGTGTCACCTTTTGGCCTTGTGGTATATTTAAAATGGCAGCTCCCTTCAGGTGATGCAGGTCTGAAAATGAATGAATGAATGTTGTGTCTTTTTTTTCTACCACCTTCCTCCTGCCAACATGCCTTGCAAAGAACAGAGAGGTTATTCTAACTTTGGTTCCCAAAATGGTCGGTCATGTTCCTACCAAAAGATACTTCTAGGCTGAGGGGACAATCTAGTTCCTATATAGCGGTTGCTAATCTGATGTCCATGGATGTGTTTAAGCTTACTTTAAAGTTGTCCAAATTGGCCCCCCTCCATCTGTGGGGAATGAAATCCTTCCCTGTTACTCAAAAACACTGCAAAAGGCAAGTCACAGCTCTCTTATGGTCAGGAATCAGCGGTTGAACATAAGCACTAAATTACTGACCTGCATCTTGGAAAATTCTATTTTCATATTTTTACTCAGAGGCAGTTCCCCCCCTCCCCCCACACACAACATACTCATAAATAAATATGATATTCTAATAATCCTGTACCTTACAGAGTTATTGCTGAAAATTATACACGTGAATTATATGGAGTATTCTGACTATACCCCTCAGCTTTACATTTGTTCAAGAATAGACATTTTCTTTGCCCTAAATTCCAAGCCTTTCATCTTTCAAGCCATTCTATCATGTATCCCCTTTTGGTCCGGTTATCCAAGGGGACATTATACAAATTCCCTTGAGGTTATTTAACTTGGGATCTGATTTAATTTGTAATAATACATTTGCCATCGTTACTTTTCACCTGCTTCATAGTTGCCTCTTATTATTATAGATTGGCAACCCAACTGGGACAGAGGTTGTCTCTCAAAATAGATTGAGTAATGATTAGAGAAGTAATTAGAAGAGAAGTAATTAGATAACTGGTAGCTCAGATATAGAATAAGAGAGTAAGTAGAAAATATAGAAACAGGAAGATGGGCAAAAAGAACAAACATGAGGAAGGAAAAAATTGAAAGACCCAAGAAAGTTGCTGTATAGTTTAGAGGAGACCTCTGCATACAGATTGTTCCTCTCTCATCCCAAGAGACTTGCCATGATGGTGGGGCTGGTTGGAATTGGGAACTTTTAAGCAATATTTAAGAGAGGTGAAAGATCTCCACTCCCATTTGTTGCAAATCTTACAGCCGGACCATTTGAACTGCTTCAGAGCCTGGATCTACCAATAATGGATGGGAAATCTGGCTGTTTTAATCTAATAGATTTGGAAGTGGTGGAGGAACTGCTTTACAGCAATGAGTCTGTTTTCTCCTCAAACACCCAATTTTGGAACAGAGTAAAATACGATATTAGTCTAATTTAATGACGTATAAAAATCACCAAACTGGGATTAATATTTTTTTCTATTGTGGTTGGCTTGGCTGCACTAAACCATGACTTTTCTAGGTATGGTTCATGGAATAATTTTAAAAGTGGCTGGCTTGATGTGTTAACCACCCACGTTATCAATGAAAGTATTGGGTGAACCAGTCCAGAATTCTGAAATGACTTCGCTCTTGTTTGATTTGCCAAATCAACAACATTTTAAATTAATTTCCTGTACTTCCTGCAAATTCTAAATAAAACTGTTTATTGAATGCTAGTGTCTTTTATTTTTTATCATAATTGTAAAAATATGTACCTCGGCAGGTAGCAGCTCAGCTGATCTTAGTCATGGTTGCTAAGCAAGGTTGGGTTTGATGATGCGTAAAAGAGCACAAGGGGACCACAAGACCATCGTTGGAATTGGAAAGTTTTTTTAAAAAAAAAAACTTCAGGAACAAAACAACGGAAAGCTCTTTCAATGGACCTTTGAATGGCTCTGCCTGTAAATTAAACAAACTCATTAGCCATCTATTGGGATAGCTTGCCAACAGTTCAGGTCCTGTATTACACAGGAATTGGTGGAGCCAAAAAGTATTAAACAGGGACAGTTGAGACCTTGTGGAATAGCTATTGGATAGGTAGGAGATTGCTGGTTGTGAGAGTGTTGCAATAACTAGTTAAAGATAGCTGTTGAGTAAAACAGAAAAGAGAAAAAAGAAGGCAAGGAAGAAAAAATTCAGAAGGTACAAAATCCATAGAAAATGAGCCTTCACAGCTCAAAAGATGTCATGAAACAAAAATGAAGGGATAAATATCGAGAATAATTATTAGAGATGTATATGAAAGTAAAACTAGAAACCTGTTGTAGATTAATTAGCACTTGGTAGGATAGCTGTGAAAACCATGGAAAAAAGTATTCAGATACTGTGACATGTCTATCAGCAAGATCAGAAGTGGCCAATCAAGGACTTTCCCCTGTGACGTTCTATGGAAGTGAATGTTGGATTTTGAAGAAGCAGGATATTCATGCTTTTGAACTTTGCTATAAGATTCTTGAGGAAATCATGGGTGGCCAAGAAATCAGATAAATGGATCATAGAACAATCAATCTTCACTCAAGGCACCAATGCCCAGGTTCAAATTGATGTTTTGGCACATTATGTAAAATTCTGATCCCTTGACAAGTCCATAGTCCTGGGAAAACTAGAAGGAAAAAAAGAAGACAATTTCAACATTGTCAGACTCAAACAATAAGGATGGGTTACACCACTGTCAGGCTGGGGACAGGTCATCCTATCCATGTGGTTGCTAATAGATGATACCAGCTTGATGGTACATAATTAATGAAAATGAAAGATGCAAAGAAGTTGTAATTAGTAACCCAGCCCACCAAACGTTTCAGCAGTTCCATACAAAGCTGGAGAAGGAAGATTTCCAAATGTGATAACAGTTGTTGGGATTAGAAAAGGAAGAAATCAGAAAGCAGCTGTATGGAATCTATTATTTTTTTAAAATATATTTTATTAATTTTTTTAACAATCATTAATATTTGGTAAACAGCGTGTTATCTGGGTTTATATTTACAAACAATAACAATTTCTATAATTCCATACTCCACATAATAGCTTTCCTTGATTTTCTCTTCTTCCAATAATATTCTTTTTTATCAACCTTAAATTAGTACATTTCTTAGTAATTTTAATAGATAATTGAATATATACATTTTTCTAATATTTCTACAGGTAACAACCACATCAATATAAATCTTCTTTTCTAATTAATCATCTTAATCACCTTGTCATAGATCCTGTTTTTAAAGTTCTCATTTAAATTTGTTTTCCCCACAAAGACATTTTCCCTGTTAAGATTTTCTTAGAGTTAATTACACTTAAGTATTTAAGTCTTTTTCCTCATATAAGCCATCCCAACACTTTTACATTTCTCATATCTTAAAACAAAAAGAAAAAAGAAAAAAGAAGTAATATACTACTTGAAAAACATGTCCCTCTTAAGCTAAAATACATTTATGTCCAATTTTTTTCTATTCTTTCTAAACATATTCAAACCAATATTTAATCTTTAAGTATTCTGTCTAATAAATCCATAGCTAATCTTTTAAAACTATTCAAAACATTCTTATTAATTAAAATTTTCTCAAAATCCATTATCCTTAAGTGTCTAAAACATTTCCCTCATATAAATCATCCCAACATTTTTATATTTCTCATATCATAAAGAATATTATATTCCTCTTAAACTTAAATTCATTTATATCCAAAATTTTATTCCTTTAACCATATTCAAACAAGTGCTTAATAAACTTTAAATATTCCATCTGATAAGTCCCATCTAATTTTTTAATTTAAAATTAAATAGATATTCTAATAAGGAAAGAAATAACCCTTTTCTTTTTGCAATGGATCAGCTGCATTGAAGAGATAGGCTGAATTGGAGCCAAAGGCCTAGCTTTCAGGGTCTAATAATCTTGTGTGAAATCCAGTTTTGCCCTGGTGCAGATGTGACAAATATTTAATATTCCATTTTATTGGATGCTTGATGATTTGTCCGCTTGGTCCTTCGTTTTTACATAAACCACTTTGTGTCACTTAAACAACCAAGCTGGGCTTGTCCAAACCTATTGTCTGAATTCACATTTAAGACCTGTGGCTGCTAGTGTTTCATGCAAAACATTTGTGGCAATTCCAGGTGATCTCTCTCTCTCTCTCTCTTGGGTGGAGCTAGTTTCCGGTGATTTCACAGACACAAGGTGTTTCTCTTGGCAACTGTAAGGAAGTAATTTATCAGACTGGACGCATCATCCCCGTCCACCATATTGTTTCTCTCATGGTACAGAACAGAGGATCATCTGGGGTCCTTTTCCATCTCTATAGTGCCCCCATTATGTAAAAAAAAAAAGAAGAGTTGAGGCTGGAATAACTAATGACCTTTATTTTTGGATCCCTGACCAGACTGGTCAATACTACCAGGCAGGTTGTGGAGAGCTAGTGCCACCTGGTGTGGAGACAATTGAGCTCAATGCAGTAACAATGCCTTGATGAGCCCTAAGTTACAGTATTCCTGTGCTTTTACAACAGGGAGTTCTCAGCTTATGACAGTTGAGGCATGTATAGCAGCAGCCTTATTCCTGTAGACCAGGGGTAGGCAACCTTGGCTCTTGTATGACTCGTGGACTTCAACTCCCACAATTCCTGAGCCAGCCACAAGTCATAAAAGAGCCAAGGTTGCATACCCCTGCTGTAGACCAACCGATAGGCCTCTTGGTCCTGAATTTTAAAAATAAATAAAATTTTACTCTTTTGAATTTTGACTGGTGAAGTCCAGAAGGGCCTTCTCTGCCGCTGCCCCTGCATTGTGGAATATCGTGCCTTCAAAGGTTAAGAAAGCCCCCAATTTCTTGGCCTTCCAGCAAAGGAATGAAGACTTGGCTGTGAGGCCTTGTGGGGGGGGGGTACAAAGGCCCACACAATTGTGAGGCTGACTGGCCCCATGTGAACCTCCCCCCCCCCCCACAAGCCTGTATTATCAACTGCTAATCCCCATCTTGGAATTTTTCACTTTTGGAAATTTTTATATTATTACAATTTTAACACTTTTTAACCTTAGATTGATTTTATTGATTATATTGTACACTGCCCAGAGCCCCTCTCTGAGGGAGATGAGTTTAAAAATATGAAATATAAATATAATATTTTCCATTCTGCCTGACTGTTGAGTACTGAAACATCAGCAGAAATTAATTTTAAGGTCCCGTTTTCCTTTAGTTTCTGGAAATAAAAATGATTAAAAAGTACTCTAATTAATACCTTACTTTTAATAGCATTTGAAATGGTAGTCTAAGTCAGGGGTGTCAAACTGCCAGTCCACAGGCCAGATGCATCATAGCAAAACCGTACCCACCCCATTGCTGGCAATGGGAAAAAAAAGTTGCAATATGTCATGACACATCACATGACATTCTGAGTTTGACACCCCTGGTCTAAGCGAATAGCAGAAAAAAGCTTATGCCTTTTAATAAAATGTGATAGTTAAAAGAGGTGTTTCCAGGCTCCTGCTTTTTTTGTATATTGTTTGGGCATTTAACCTGCAAAAGTAACCTCAAATGTATTTAGTGTATTTGCTTGTTTAATGGATATTGCAGGATTTCAAATTTGGGGATTTTCACCCCCCCCCCAGCCCCCCAAGATTCAACTACATCGCCAGCCTTCAATTTGATTCTATTCTTTATGTGTTTGTGTCTCTGAGGAGATTTGTTTCAGGAAGGCATTCCTGAAAAGTAGAAATAAAAGCCACAGGAGAAAACTGGGCAGTGCATGTTAGCCAGGAGTCTGTCAGATGGAAGGGTGCAATCCCCCTTAGTCTAGAGAAGGGAATCTGAGCTTTGCAGAGAGAGAACAGGGGTGAGGAGGCTTGCTAGATCTGTATTTATACAGACTCTGAGGCGTAAGTAGCATTTTTGATGCCCACTCATAAGTTTTTCACCTGCTGTTTTTGCTGGAGTGAAGATTGTCTCATTCTTCCTGCTGTCAGAAGAGCAAGTCAGAACCCAATTGTTTTTGAAGCACAGACCTGTGACAGCACCCAGAATCTCCTGCTGAACAGGAGTGTGCTGAGGAAGAGGAATAAAATTAGAGGCATAGAAACACTAATAGTAGGCTTGATAATCAAAGGAGGTGGATTTAGATTTTTATCCCCTTTATTTATAAAAATTAAAGGCAGCAAAAATACCTAATATTCCCTGCTCTTTTCCTCACAATCACCCTGTGAGGCAGATTGGGCTGAGTGATGGGCCCAAAGTCCCCCAGCCGGCTTTATGCTTGTGGCAGGACTAGAAACACCAGGTTTCTAGTCTGATGCCTTAACCATTAGACCAGACTGGCTATTAGAATGTAGTTGTGAATGTTTACACCAATTTGAACATTTCATGTTAATGAATTGATTTTCTCAACCCCAAGAAATTACCAGTTGTCAGTCAAAAGATGGTATTGTCAGTATATGTACCAAGTTTATTGAGCAGTGGAGGCAATATTAAGGGATTGTTATCACTGTTCAATGGAATCAATTTGTCTAACTTGTGATTTACTTTTTAAAACAGGGCCATTATGGGTCACATGACCTAAGAGGGCCATTGGCAACTTTTTATAAGCGACCACAACTGTTTTTGAGTAACCTCTTACCCTAGTTCGTTAATAAACAGCCCCACTCCTATTGTGTTCAGACACTCGTTTTTTAACATTCCTTAAATTGGTATTTAAAAACATTCTTATACACTTGAATTTTTGTGAATGTTTAGTGCAGCGAAAAGCTCTTTCTAAAAGCCTGTAGGTGGCTCTGAAAAGAGCCTTTGGGTCTCGGTATGTCCCTCGGGGCAGGGTTATCTTGTCTTCACTGAACAGCAACGGGAGCGGTCGTCGGCTTGACTGCGACTTTGGGCACTTTGGAAGACTTGCTCACGCTGGTGGTGGGTTTGCTGGCACTAGCGCTATGCAGAATTTCGGTTTTCTTCGGCAATAAAACCGCATGGATATTGGGTAAGACGCCTCCCTGGGCGATCGTAACTCCCCCAAGCAGCTTATTTAATTCTTCATCGTTGCGCACCGCCAACTGCAAGTGCCGCGGAATGATTCGACTCTTCTTGTTGTCCCTCGCGGCGTTGCCAGCGAGCTCCAGAATCTCAGCGCTCAAGTACTCCAGCACCGCAGCCAAATATACCGGGGCCCCTCCTCCAATCCGCTCGGCGTAATTGCCCTTGCGTAGAAGCCGATGAACTCGACCCACAGGGAACTGCAACCCGGCTCTGGAAGAGCGGGATTTCGCCTTCGCTCGTGCCTTGCCTCCGGTTTTACCGCGGCCAGACATCCTCAAACCCTTTCGCCTCCCGAGACGAAACAGCAGCAGACAATCGCCGCTGAACGTCTTTTATACCTTTCTTGACCTAGTTTCTCTTATTGCGATTGGTTGAAAAGAGCAGACCAATAGGAACAGTACGATTTTAACCAATAAGAAACTAGTATTGTCAAGACCAGTATAATAAAACGAAGTAACGGTTTTTATAAATATGAAAAACCTCTCTGGTATTCTTTGTATCATTCTACTCTAGTATTAATTATGTGCGAGAGAAGTAATTTACTTTACCATAAATGTTTGCTTGGGTTCATAGTTCCATACAATCTAGAATTGATCCATTTGATTAAAATCTTCCTGCATATGAAATCATACGAAGTTTTGTCTTAAATCTACTATATTGTGTATTTTGTTGACGAGAATTTCTTTAATATTGTATTCGCAAATGTAAATTTCCGGTTAAAAAAATATGGATGTCGAAAAGACTCAAAGGGGAGAGGAGACTAAAAACTGACGGGCGCATGAAAACCGCTTATGAAGCAAATGCTCTGCGTTTCCCGCCTCCCCGCCCCCGTATTGTTCCTTGTCGCGTTGTATTTCCTTGACAAAACAGCTACTTTCTTTAATGACTTATTGTTTAACAACATAATAAATAATGATAAACACAAATCAATTCTCATCAGGAAGCCAAACGAAGATTTCTAATCTCCGTCAATATTTTTCTCTAAAATATTTTCTCTATATTAGGCATTATACCATAGCTAATGTTTATTTTGTTAATATTGCAATTCAAAACCAAATATTCAATCATTCTAGAAAGGGCGTTCAATCGGTGACATTTATTGAGGAAAAGTATCAGTTAAATTCAAACATCAGATGTGCTTGAGTTGGGCAGCCACAGGTAAGTTGGGAGGGGCATATAAATTTGTTTAATAAATATTTAATTATAATAATGAGGGAAAGAAAAAACAGCTGAGAAAATTTAGAACTCCATCCACTTTGACCACATCACTTTGAAAAATTCCTTCTTTGCCTTTAACACCCCATTCCCATTATAAATCAAACGTTGATAAGCAGGACAGGTTGACAGAATATATTTCTCTTTCTATGATTTGTATGAACATTTTATCCAATCCCTATATCTAGAAAACCTATGGTTCTTGATAAATTCTAAATACTGGAAATATAGCCCAAACTGTTCACATTCTTTAATGTACTTCAATTAATAGACACCACAAATCTTTGCACTGAATTTGCATTTCCAAATTAATGAGAGAGGTCTTAGTATAGTATCTTCTTTCCTGTGGGTCTTAATTATTATTTTATTTTAATGAAAAATATTAGCTTCACTGCTCTGCACAGGTGTAGTTACTCTCATTGATTGAATGCCCTTTCTAATTATGATTATTGCTAATATTCTCTAGAGGAAAAAAATAGCAGTGCTAGACTTTATTGGTATTATGTACATTCCATTAGAATCATTAAAATATATGCTATAAACTACTTATACTAGTACTTAAATTTATTTAACATAGTAGAAATCTAAGCTGTTTCCCTGCTTTGACTAGGATTACATTGAATTTACATACGCTGCACTTGTTGAGATGGATGGCAGTACAAATTGAATAAATACACCTAATTCAATGTCCAACCCAAATCTTTGTTTTTTATCCTAAACTTTTATGAGTGAGGGGTCTTCATGCTCTCTGAACTTGGTTGTTTTCTTGCAGATATTTCATTATCCAAACTTCACCAACGTAATGAAATGTCTGCAAGAAAACAACCAAGCTCAGAAATCACCAAGGATCCATCATTTCAACTCTGAGCTACAAATATTCTCCATTATTGGTACTTTTATAAGTGCAGTTAAACGTTACTTTGCAGGCTAATCTGACCAGGAATGTGCTGGTTATACAGATGATTAAATGAGTCCGAACTGAAACGTGAACTTGAAACATTCCGTTTTATTAAATACAACACAATCTATAAGGGTTCTTGAAAGACTTGTTTGAGGGTTTGTTACAATCAATGAGGAATTAGGATTACAATCTTAATATAGACTTTCTGTCCAATACTTATTAAAGCTGGCCATAGTACCTTTTTCTGCTACAGTACTTTTTTTCGTATATTCCTCATTGGCCAGTTTTTCTGAATGGAATCCAATTAGAACTTACCATCAGAATCCAAGTTAATATGATCTGGAATGTCTCCTTTGAGGCGAACTCGACTCTTAATGACACAGCATCCTAACAATGCTTCACTTGCTTTCATTTTTAAAGTGTTTATTCACACACCAGTTTCATGATCACAAGTGAAAATAGGGATCCCAGTTATTTCACATTAATTAGCATCGTGAAATCTAAAATATGCCAACCCCAAACCGTACATGCCTCTCGGAATTCTTAGATTTCATCAGAATATTGTACCGACAAATGCGAATAGAAAGAATGGGGTGGGGGAGAAATGACAAATGTGCTTGTGTATCATTTTTAACCTTCGGTAACACCCTCCGCTGTAACATACAATAAAGCGTCAAGGAGAATTTTGGGAGCTCGGAAATTTGTTTATTAGGATCAGCCCCAAATGGAGCTGATCAGCGCACAGAAATGCAAACATCTAATGTGATGGCTCCGTGGCTAAATCCAGAACTGCGCTAAGAAAGTTCCGTCGAATCGAAACAAATACCTGTTAGTCCTGCATTATCTCCGTCGCACCTGAGAAGATATAGCTGAAACGATCTATTTATAAGCTATATTTTTCCTTTCAATGGGCGGCTAGCTATTGTTATTAAGCTAATTCCGTGCAATATTTCCATTTAACTCCATTTGATGTTATTTTTAATTCCCTTCAAAACCTCAATAACCTAAGATAAAAATTACAAATGGGTGATTTTGCTTCTTTCCCGCATCGGACAGTTAAGAGAACCTGAACGGTTAAAAAACAAAACAAAAACAAAAAAAAAACCGATCGGACGAACAATAAACCAGGACTTTTCAGCTTAAAAATCCCATCTGTTTCGACGCAGGAATACAAATTACCTCAGATTGAAAGATTAAGTTGGAATATGACGGTCGATGAGAAAACTCGTCGGTTTTCTAACTTTTCAGTCAGGAGAGTCACGCCCCCTTTACAGTCGGCCCTGACAGAAAACTTTGAAAAAAAGAGATTGACGTTTAAGTACACTAGCTTGCACAGCAGTACCGCTTATTGTCTGTTAATTGATTATTATGTTGATGTATCTTGTGCTGTTTCAATTGTGCAATCAAAAACAGTAATCTGGGGAAAATGCACAATTCTGTCATGCTGTATAATATTGAGAAGATGTGAGAAGAAATTGCATTTAATGCACACAGCATAAAATACTGGACAGGCTGGAAAAAATAATCCAATTTTTCAGAATATAAAATTAAAGTTCATTTCAGTTTTTCCTGGAAGAGCATGTGCAACTTCCTCTGGCATAGGAGTTTTTTTTTTTCTATGAATGTTTGAGTCAAATGCAGTCTTTGCTTCTCTCTTTCCATATCACCCTCTGCAGTATGTGGATTTTTTATTGTCTAATACAATTTCTATAGGTAAACCTGAAACTGCAGGACAGATTCTAGGCAGCATTTTATAGAGTTTCAGCAAGCTCTGTTCAAGCTCTGCTATTCTAGATACTTGTAATTTCAGCTAGCAGACAGTGCCAATCAAGTCTTGCCTATTCTGGCCAGGAATCCTGGGAGTTAGAGTCTCAGCATAGAGGATAATCTCACATTCCTTATTTTAGGTAGGGTTTTTAGTACTGGATTCCTTTTTTCAACTCCAAAGAAAACTTGCATCCTGCATACAATCTTGTCCAGTTTGATAGTTTCCAAATGTGTTTGAACTGCAACTCTAAAGCAATCAGATTGAGGGCACAATTGTTCAGTAGCTAAAGATATTCACCTTATCAGCTGGAAAGTCCGGGTCTGAGATAGGGTGAGCTCCTATTACTTGCGCTAGCTCCTGCCCACCCAGCAGTTTCAAAGCATGCAAATGGGAATAGATATATAGGTACCACTTTGGTGGAAAGATAAGAACAACAACAACAACAACAACAATAATATAAAATTGGAAGGGACCTTGGAGGTCATCTAGTCCAATCCCCTGCTTAGGCAGAAAACCCTATACCATTTCAGACAAATGGCAGTCCAGTCTCTTCTGAAAACTTCCAGTGTTGGAGCATTCACCGCTTCTGGAGGCAGGTTGTTCCACTGATTAATTGTTCTAATTGTCAGGAAATTTCTCCTTAGTTCTAGGTTGCTTCTCTCTTTTATTAGTTTCCATCCGTTGCTTCTTGTCCTGCCTTTAGGTGTTTTGGAGAATAGCTTGATTCCCTCTTCTTTGTGGCAGCCCCTGAAATTTTGGAACACGGCTATCATGTCCCCCCTCATCCTTCTCTTCATTAAACTAGAGTTTAATTCCAGCAACCGTTCTTTAGCCTCCAGTCCCCTAATCATCTTTGTTGCTCTTCTCTGTATTCTTTCTAGAGTCTCAACATCTTTTTTCTATCATGGTGACCAAAACTGGATACAGTTATTCAAGTGTGGCCTTACCAAAGCATTGTAAATGATATTAACATATCACGTGATCTTGATTCTATCCCTCTGTTAATGCAGCCTAGCGCTGTATTGGCTTTTTTGGCAGTTCCCCACGCTGCTGGCTCATATTTAAGTCATTGTCCAGTAGGACTCCGAGGTCCCTCTCACTGTTACTACTATTGAGAAAGGTATCATCTGTACTATACCTGTGCATTTGGTTTTTCTTGCCTAAATATAGAATCTTTTTCCACCATTGAATTTCATTTTGTTAGATAGCGCTCAATGTCTGTCAAGATCCTCCTTTATCTTAAGCCTGTTTTCTGGAGTGTTGATTATTCCTGCCAGCTTGGTGTCAGCCAGCTAAAGATCCATCTGGTGGTGATGCTGTCTAACCCACATGGTAGCCTAAGTGAATAGCATAAAAAAGCTTATGCCTTTTAATAAAATGTGATCGTTAAGAGGTCTTCCCAG